GCTCCAAGCGTGAACAACACCCCAGAGGCACCCCCGTCAGCGTAGCAGCCAAGGCGATGTCACCTTCGCGAAGGAAGTCCGGACCACCTTGACGAAGGACCTAGATGTACAGCCTTCGAAGGCCTTAGCGATAAGAGGCGGGACAGATCATCACCATCTTCGATTTCATCCCTAGATATGGACTCGGACCATCAGGCGTCACAGAGGCCTTCCAGCGAAGGTCATATCATCGATCCCGGACGGACGCCTTAAATGAAAGCGAAGGCATTCGGCGAAGGACATATGATTCCAGATCTTCATCATCTAGAAAGGACATCGAGGGACTATGGAAGAGCTTAAGCGAAGCTATCAGCGTTAAGCCTCACAAGTCTCGAGAAAATCATCCCATAGGCGATCTCCACGCCGTTCATCACCAGATTCGATCACCGTCAGATCTCCACATAGAAGCGGCGCACAAGTCAACTAGATTGCCACAAGCCTCATCGGACATACAGACAGCTACGCGGTCGAAGAGCATCTACAATTCGTTAATGATGATGGTATTGAGGATGATGGAGGAATCATTTTCTCCAATGCAGAGAATCACGGTATTGGATGGTCAATAACCTAGATCTCATCATCCATCTAAAAGTGGCAATACAGAGCGCAGGCGTATTTGATGAAGGGAAGGCGATCCAGATCGCGATCACTCTACCCCGATTGACCCGATCGGCGGCAGTGCCACAGAATCTAGATGCAGCTTTCCAGAAAGCTACGAAAGTTCAGACACCACATCTACCCAACTTTCATGCCAAGAAGTTCTCCGCGATAACATGGACTGTTTCTACAAAGCCCAGGACATCGATGAGAACTATAAGATCATCAGCGATGTCAAGAACAAGATTTACAAGATGGATGATCGTAAGTTGGCTCATATAGAAACCATGGCGAGGCGTATGTTCTTTGGGTTAAATAGATCTAGGACGATCAATGAGACTCTTATCACTAGATTCGGGATTCCACGGACGGAAGATGATAGAATGATTTATTCTGCCTTACTTTATGCAAAGAAAGATCAGCAGTTTTAGCGGATCATCTTACATCTGTTTCAGCAGCACTGACCTTAGCTTCGTCGTCAAGGCCTCCTGCGCTTCCTGCAATTGGGGAGAACTTTACAGCCCCACTTTATACAGCCCGTGGTCGACAACATCCATCTTTGGCGGAGAAATCGACAAAGTAAGCCAAGGAAGTCTCTAAGGATTCCAGGGAAGTCCTTATGATTAAATCGATGGACACACTAGCCAGCGTCATTCGTCAGACTTCACAAAGATACTCAGGCAGATCTAAGTTCACGGGCCTACAAAGAGCAAGAGACAGGAAGATAGCCAGCTCTAGAGGTAAAGATTCTTTTAAATTGGCCATATGGCAACTATAGAGGAGGATCAGGAAGAGGCAGGACACCCAGAGGTTCCGCAACTATAGGCAGCTGAAACACAGGTTCGAGCGACTGTAGTCTTCCACCCCAGCCGTTCCAGTACAGCCAGCACAAGTGGGTGGGCGCCTCCAACTACACTGGAAAACTTGGGAATATTGCAAGACCCTTACGTCTCCAACATTCTTCAACACGGATTTCAGTATCCACTACAGGCCAAGCCTCGCTGACAATCAAACCCCTCAAGTTCGATTTACAGAAAGCAACAACTACCAAAGATAAGAGAGGCTGTTTCATCACTCCTATCCAAACAGGCCATAGAAGTAATAGATCAAGCAAACGTCGAACCAGGTTTCTACTCCCCAGTTTTCCTAGTTCCCAAGAAAAACTCCCGGAGAAATACAGACTCATCTACAACATGAGCTTTTCAGCAAGAATTATCTACGCAAACCACCCGAAGTTTAGCATGATACATTTACCTCAGTTGCGCCAGATGATTAGGTCCTATGGACTACATGGGCAGCATAGATCTACAGGATGCCTACCTGCACATCCCCATTCATCCCGATTCAGGAAATACCCTACGGTTTACTCTAGAAGGGCTACATTACCAGTGGAAAGTACTTCCCATTGAATATCATCAGCCCCTGGCTATTCACGAGGATACGAAACCGATTATCATCTTTCTACATCGTCAAGGAGCTACGCCAGTGCGTTTTACCTCGACAACGGGATACAGGTAGATCAAGATCCACAGCATCTCAAACTACAGTTAAATTACATCATAAAGCTACTAACACAACTAGGATGGTTAGTAAACTTACGCATAAGTCGGACCTAGTACCATCGCAAGACCTGCAGTTCCTAGGTATTCGATTCATCACAAATCATAACCGTATCGTTGTACCAGAAGACCGTTGGCTCAAGATACAACAGACCATTCCACCAGCTCTACTCTCTCCGTTACCACTGGACAATGGCAGAGCCTACTAGGTCTACTCACATCAGCCCAAGACATGACTGTCACAGGCAGATTACAGTCACGACCCCTACAGGTCCTCATCAAGCGCACATCTCAACTATGTACAACCATTCAGTCTACCGAAACATCTCAGACCTCATCTACTATGGTGGACCAAAGAAATCGAATGTCTGCGAAGGGATTTGTTTAGCAGAGCAGGAATTCAAAACCCATCTATATGTAGACACGTCACTCCAAGGTTGGGGAGCTCATCTCACCAACCACACGATATCAGGATTATGGAATCAGCAAGAATGCAAACTACATATAAACAGTCTAGAAATGAAAGCTGTAATCAACGCCATTCTACATTGGAGCACATTTCTACAAAATGCGCACCTAATGATCCATACAGACAATTAGACAGTGGCGTTCTACATAAACAAGCAAGAGCTCAACGAGATCGCTGAACCTTTTTGAACCTAAGCTTTCAACTGTTACGATTTAATACAAGATCTAAATCTACATGTCAGAGCAGTTCACATTCCGGAGCCAGAAATATACTAGCAGGCGGCTCTTTCTCGGCCTCATCTACCATCACCGACAGAGTGGATGATCAACAGGGAAATATTTGCACAGATAATCAAGCAATTAGAGCTTGCTAGCTAATAGACCTTTTAAGCCACGCGATTCAACAATCAGCTACCGACATTGCGTGTCACCAGTCCCAGACCCTCAAGCTTGGGCGGGCGGACTCTAAGTCTATCATGGAAGGCCTCAATGCATACAGCGTTTCCGCCGCCAGCAATAATACCTCTAGTATTACAGAAAATCAGACAAACACAGAGCCTACAACTCACTTTGGTCGCCCTACTGGCCGGCCAGAGCGTGGTTTCCCATACTAATTCAGAAATCGGTCAACCAGCACTGGAGCTACCCAAGCGCGCCAAACCTGTTAATTCATCCTCACACCAAACAAGTGCGGAAACCCAGAAATGTTCCAACTACACGTATGGACTGTATACAAATGTGTTTAAACAAGAGAGGATATTCTGCCAGAGCGCAAAAGCAATCACGCTTTGCTTTACGTTACTCAACTCGTGGCAATGCGGCGACAAGTGGCACAGTTTGAAAATTATGCAGCAAAGAAAAGGTTTTACAGCGAGAGAGGCTTCACAGCCTCAAGTGGCAGACTATTTGTGTTACCCATGCCAAAACAAACATTTAAAAGGTTCAACGATATCAACATATCTTTGCGGCGCTTAGTTCTGTAATCACCATGAGAGCGGGTGTCAAGTTGACAAGATCTCCAGAGTTACTGGCCTTACTGAGCATTCCGATTGGAGGACCAAAAGCGGAAGTTCCACGCCCCAGCTTGGGATCTGAATATAGTGTTACAACACCTCACGAGTGAGGTTTATGAACCTTGGAATCGACAACTTTGAATTTCTCTCACAGAAAACACTTTTTCTGCTATCTCTAGCCACGGCAGCAAGAATGTCTGAAATTCGCTCTAGATTCTGAGAGGATACAGTTTGATGACAATCATAACACAGCACCTCGGACTAAGATGGGATTTCATCGCTAAAAATCAACTGCCAGGTCAACCAGACAGGTTATTCCACATCCCGGCTATCCTCTATTCTCGGATCACAAGATACACAAGACTTATCACTGTGTCCAGTAAGAGCTCAAAGTTTATTTACTGACGATCCATAACAAGGAGAAGATTTCTCAAGCGTTTATTCATCCCCTTATCGCCTACAAATCAAACAGAAGTGTCACGGACCACAATATCTATTTGGATAAGGACTGTCATCTCTCCGTGCCTACAAGGCAGCAGGCTTAGACCCACCAACAGCATCAAATCCACATGAGATCAGGGCATTGGCCTCCACCCTCGCCCTTCCACGGCAACTGTTCCTTGAACACGATTATGGAAGGATGCTATTGGAAATCTAACATGGTATTTGCTAATCACTACCTGAGAGACATCACTACAGAAGATGTCTCTGGCATTCACCATTTCGGACCACTGGTCCTCGCTCAGCAACTGACAGTTCCTCGTAGGCGTTAAATATTACCCTCACAAGATTAATATGTATTATATACATACTTATCTAGCTTATAACTCTACGGAGTTTTAGGGCTATGTATATATGTTCAGCTTAAGTTATTCAGCCTTAAGCTTATACTATGATATCTTCAGTTTCAGTGCCTCTATCAGAGTCACTTATATATATATATATATTATATGTATTGTTCAATATATTTATAATGTAATTCCCCTTTAATGGCATTATGTAACCAATGGTTTTTTAATACAACAAACATCCTAAGTCTAAGCCTTCATGAAGTTCCCGTAGGGGATATTACAGTATATCTATACAAAATCACTAATTATAAATCCAAATTATTCTGTTACTCCCACCTCCGTGTCCGTAGGATGCTACAAACAAAAGAGCATGAGTCAGGATGAGGAAAAATATGTAATTTTTTAGAGTAAAATTGATATTTTATACTTATCCTGACTCATGAGGTTGCTCCCTCCCATCCTCCCACATAACACTTTGGATTTCCCTGTAAGTTCAAGTGTTGGGCTCATAAAATCAGGAGAGAGTGGAGCACATGGCCAGAGAGGGTGGCGACACCTTCCCGCCAGGGAAACAAAGGGAGCAACTTCGTGGTGAGTACCAATTAGTGATTTTATTTTGAAGGGAGCTTCAAATAAGGAGATACAAGTGTTCCACTATGTTCGCAAGAAGAAGAAGACAAGCAAAAGAGCATGAGTCAGGATAAGTATAAAATATCAATTTTACTCTAAAAATTACATTTTCCTTATCCTGACTCATGCTAATGCTGTCTTCTTCTTCTTCTTATAACATATAGGAACACACGTATCTCTCAATTGGAAGTTCCCTTCAATAAAAAATCACTAATTAGTACTCACCACGAGTTACCTCCCTTCCACAAGCGCGGGAACGAGGGCGCCACCTCAACCCATGTGCCTCACTCTCTCCTTCTTCGCCCAGTGAGCTGGACGTGAGAGCACCTGTGTCTCCCAACACACTATATCCTTTAATTAAATTTAGTTTAGTACCTCTTATATTCATTTATAGAGGTGTAACTAGTATCCTTATTCAACTTGCATTGATTATTAGTCGTGTTTCTGCTGTTTTATTCACGGTTCGCCGTGTTTGTTCAGCAGTTTACGTTAATGAGAATCTGCACAGGTTGTAAATTACGTTATTCCGGTACCGATCCACATTTAAAATGCCCTAGTTGCATTACTCCATGTTCTATTGTTTCTCGTTGTAAATTATGTATTAATTTGCCAAATTCTGCCTTTGATAAATATTTATGTTCCGTTTTGAGACGGAAGGCAGATAAATCTCGCAAACAATCTTCAGTCATGGCTAATAGATCGGAAGCTAATATACCCTGTCAACTGTTGACGGACGACCCGCTACCGGCTGGTGGCCCGCCTGAGTTTCCCTCGGAGGATAAGCGTGGGACGCCGTCCGCTATGTCCCAGAAGCGACCTGCATCTCAAGACGTTCCTTCTTCACAGTCTAAGACTAGAAGAGCTTCCACATCATCTCAACGTGCGCTTGAACTCCCCAGGTCCACAGCTTCGTCAAAAGGGAAATCCCCGAAAGCTTCAAATAATTTTGCCTCTGATATTCTACCTGTCTCAGAATTATGTTTATATGATGATGACATTCCGATTATCATTCCAGATGTACGTCATAAGAAGCGTCCAGTATCTGCTACCGTCACTACAGCGCCAGATCAACACGCAACCAGAGATGCCTACGCGCGCCGGAGATTATGACTGAGGGTCCCGTCACTTTCACAGAGAGGACACCCTCAGCGCCAGCGCCAGAACCCGCCCCAGACGACCTGGTCAACCAAATCATGAGACTGATGGAGGACCGTTGCGGTTTACAGAGGCCCCAGAGCCCAACCCATAATAAGTCATACAGGGCCCCAGAGCCCGCCTTGGCTTCGCGTAGGGCCCCAGAGCCCACAAACGCGCCTCCGCGAAGGGCAACCCAGCCCGTAGCGATCACTTTGCAAAGGAAGTCCCAGGCCGCCTCCGCGAAGGAGCTAGAGCCTCACCAGTTGCGAGGGACATCGCGGAGAAGGAGCGCTTCGCCGAGCCCACACCCTGTAGAACACAGAGGTCATTCGCGAAGCAAGCGCTCATATGTTGATTCGGACTCTGACTCGATACATTCGCGAAGGTCGCGAAGGCTAAGTGGCTCCAAGCCTACCTCGCCCAGAAGATCTAGAAGAGCTTAGCGAAGTCCCCAGCATTCGCCGAGGAAGTCTCCAAGGTCTCCTTACACTAGCCACTCGTCAGTCCATTCACCACAGTCCTCTCATCGATCTTCCTACAGATCTAGGACTCCAACATGTGACCCTACGTCAGAAGAGGAAGAAGGTATCATTTTCTCAGATGCAGAAATTAGATACTGGATGGTGAATGAGTTACAACTTGCTTCCCCATCGAAGAACGAGAATTCAACTCAGACTTACTTGATGAAGGATGATGATGCAGACAATATCACCTTACCTCCTATTGACCCGATTGCAGCGGTACCAGCTAATCTGGATACAGCCTGTTCCAAATCTTCGAAAGTCCAATCTACACATTTCCCGGTCTTCAACGCCAAGAAATTTGCAGGACACAATATGGACCCCTTTTTCAAGGCCCAAGATATTGATGACAACTTTAAATTAATCAGTGATGCCAAGTCCAGAAGTTACAGAATAGGCGATGCATAAATTGGCCCAATTGGATACCATCTCTAGGAGAATGTTCTTTGGATTGAATAGATCTAGAACTATTAATGAAACTCTCATCACAAAGTTCAAGAATTCTACAGAGGAGGAAGATAGAATGATCTACTCGGCTCTACTCATGCAGAAAAGAGACCACCAATTTCTTACAGAGCACCTGTCAGCGCTTTCTGAAACTGCTACCATGGCTCGTCGGCAAGGCTTACTAGCCTCCTGCTCTTGGGATAAGCAATTCACAGAATCTCTCTACGCAGCTCCATGGTCATCGCCCTTACTTTTTGGTGGCAACATAGACAAGGTCTCCAAAGAAGTATCTAAGGACTCGAGAGAGGTGCTTATGATCAGATCCATGGATACCCTAGCGAACGTCATTAAACAGTCAACACAGAGATACTCTGGCAAGTCTAAGTTTTCGGGGCTACAGAAAGCACGGGACAAGAAATTAGCTGCAGCTAAAGATCCCAGGGATTCTTTTAAATTAAGCCCATACAGCAAATTCAGAGGAGGATCAGCTAGAGGCAGATCATCCCAGAGGTTCCGAGATTTAGGCGATGAAATTCAGGTTTGGGAACGACTGGAGTCTTCCACCCCAAGCCGTTCCAGTACAACCTTCCCAAGTGGGTGGGCGCCTTCAGCTGCACTGGGAAAACTGGGGGGAATACTACAAGATCCATATGTATCCAACATCCTACAGCACGGATATCTAATACAACTCAAGGCCAAGCCTCTGTTAACAGTCACCCCTCAGGGTTCAACGTTCAACCGGCACAACTACCTATGTTAAGAGAAACAGTAGCTACTCTGCTAAACAAACAGGCCTTAGAAGTTCTAGATCAACGAAACATCGTACCATGTTTCTACTCCCCAGTTTTCCTAGTGCCCAAGAAAAATTCCAAGGAGAAGTTTCGTCTCATATACAACATGAGCATCTTCAACAGAGAATATCTATGCAAACCACCAACGTTTCGCATGATACACTTACCGCAACTTCGGCACTTAATTCGTCCCAAAGATTACATGGCCAGCAGAGATTTGCAAGACGCATATCTACACATTCCGATTCATCCCAACTCAAGGAAATATCTAAGATTTATCCTAGACGGGAAACATTACCAATGGAAGGTTCTTCCCTTCGGAATCACATCAGCCCCTTGGGTATTCACAAGAGTGACCAAGCCTATTGTCTCATACCTACATCGTCAAGGTCTTCGCAGTGCATTTTACCTAGACGACGGTATACAAGAGGATCCAGATCCACAGCATCTCAGACTACAGCTGAACTTTATAATCAAGCTACTAACTCAACTAGGATGGTTAGTAAATCTACTCAAGTCGGACCTAGAACCAACACAAGATCTGCAATTTCTAGGTATACAATTTCTAACAGCTCAGAATCGTATAGTAGTCCCGGAGGACAGATGGATCAAGATCCAACAACTTATTCCTCAAGCCCTACTCTCTCCGCTACCACTACGACAGTGGCAGAGCCTATTGGGACTACTCACATCAGCTCAAGACTTGACAGTCAGAGGCAGGCTTCAATTACGTCCGTTACAAGTCCTCATCAATGCTCATCTCGGGGACCCTCTACCATTCAGTCTACCAGATTACGTCAAACCACATCTACTCTGGTGGACCAAGAGATTGAATGTTTGCGCGTTGCGTCTCCTTTAGTAGAGCGGATCGAAAACACATCTCGTAAGTGGCGTCACTACAAGGTTGGGGAGCCCACCTTGCGCGGCAAGACAGCGTCAGGCCTATGGAGCAATCAAGAGAGCAAATGTCACATAAATCTGCTAGAGATGCAAGCAGTCATAAACGCCATAGTCACTGGAGCAACCTACTACAGAACACTCAGTTGATGGTTCACACAGACAATTCAACAGTGGCGTTTTATGTAAACAAACAAGGCTCAACAAGGTCACAGAACCTACTGGCTCGATGTTTCAGATTATTCGATCTAATCGACAATCTAAACTTACCGTCAGAGCTTGCCACATTCCAGGAGCAAAGAATGTATTAGCAGGCGCTCTCTTTCGGCCACACCAACCCGTCGCCCGACAGAATGGATGCTCCACACAGAGATATTCAATCAAATAATCATGGAAATAGGATCTCCACTGATAGACCTATTAAGCCACTTTCGATTCAACAAGCAACTGACAACATTAGGTATCGCCAGTTCCAGACCCACTAGCATGGGCAGCGGGACGCACTAAGCATATCGTAGGAGGGACTCAGCAGCGTGCGGCTTTCCCGCCTCCAGCGTTAATCCCACAAGTCTTACAGAAATCAGTCAAGCGCCAGAGCCTCCATCTCATTTTAATTAAGCCCTACTGGCCAGCGAGAACCTGGTTTCAGATCTCATTCAAATCGGAAAACCAATTCTTCAGCTCCCACAGCGCGCCAATCTATTGATACATCCGCACACCAAACAAGTGCCGCGAAACACCAGAAGCATTCCAACTTCGCATTATGGATTGTATCAAGGCATGTCTGAATAAAGAGAGGTTATTCTGCCAGGCGGCTAAAGCAGTCAGCTTGCACTCGTAACTCAACTTCAACTTAACTTATACGATGACAAATGGCACAGTTTTGTCAATTACGCTGCTAAGAGAGGATTTACAGCCAGATATGCTACACATATCAAGTGGCAGATTTCTTATGTTATCTACGTCAAACTAAGAATCTAAAAGGCTCAACCTTGTCCACTTATCTTGCAGCTATAAGTTCTGTCATAACTATGAGAACGGGTGTCAAGTTAACAAAAACACCGGAGTTACTCGCTTTGTTACGAGCGTTCCGATTGGAGGATCAGAAACGGAAGTTTCACGCTCCAGCCTGGGATCTAAATATAGGCTTATGAACCATTGCAATCTACATCGTTTGAATCACTGACCCAGAAAACCTTGTTCCTGTTAGCACTAGCTACGGCTGCCAGGATGTCAGAGATTCATGCACTGGATTACGAGAGAACACGCTTTGATGATATTCATAACATCGTTCATCTGGGACTTCACTGGGATTTTATAGCTAAAAACCAACTGCCAGGTCAACCAGACAGATTATTCCACGTCCCAGCTCTCTCATCCATACTTGGACCTCATGATACGATGGATCTATCACTATGCCCAGTAAGAGCACTGAAAATATATCTCCAACGATCCAAACAGAGCAGAGGGAAATTCAAGAGATTATTTATCCCTATATCTACAGCTACGCAGACTGAAGTCTCACGTACTACTATCTCTATCTGGATCAAAACTGTCATACTACGTGCCTACAAGGCTGCAGGACTCGACCCTCCAAGAGCTTCTAATCCTCACGAAATTAGAGCGCTAACCTCAACTCTTGCTCTACATGGAAATTGCTCGTTGAATACCATAATGGAGGGATGTTTCTGGAGATCCGATATGGTGTTTGCCAACCACTATCTGAGAGATATCACCACCGAGGGCGTCTCAGGTATCCACCATTTCGGTCCCATGGTCCCACCAGCTCAACAGTTGACAGTTCCACGGAGAAGATAAGTGTATCTTACAGATTTTATACTTATCTGATAACAGTACTAATAGCTACATGCTATCTATATATTTTGCTTAAGTTTAATCTATTATCTTAAGCTCAGTACTATGGTTATTATATCATACTATATATAAGCTTACAACTCCTAGGAGTTTTGCTATTATATATATATTTAGCTTAAGTTTCATCAATTCTTAAAGCTCAGTTATATGGTCATATTCATAAATGTATTAGCTAACAAACTCTAAGGAGTTGGTTACTATTATATAGCTTAAGTTAAAATTATATCTTAAGCACAGTACTATACTCTTATAGCTTAAGTGTATGCATATCTTAAGCTTAGTACTTTGGTTAATTCATAAAAGTATTCACTATAAACTCACAGAAGTTTATACTATCACATTAATAGCTTCAGCTTACATTAATGTTGTATTTACTTTTATCATAATAATTATATTGTAATAACCTTTATATGGCAGCTGATAAGTTAGCAGCAGGAATTCATCAGTTCAGTGCCTTTATGAAGTTCCCATAGGGTTATTACAATCATCACAGTTCAAATCACTAATTATTAAAATCCAAAGTATATATATTCCCACCTCCTTTTCCGTCGGATTCTACAAGCAATAAGCATGAGTCAGGATAAGGAAAAATATGTAATTTTCTGAGTAAAATTGATATTTTATACTTATCTGACTCATGAAAGCTCCCTCCGTCCTCCCCACTTAACACTTTGGATTTCTTGGAAAAATAAAAGTGTCGGACTCGAAAACAAAGGAGAGTGAGGCACATGGGTTGAGGTGGCGCCCTCGTTCCCGCGCTTGTGGAAGGGAGGTAACTCGTGGTGAGTACTAATTAGTGATTTTTTATTGAAGGGAACTTCAATTGGGAGATACACGTGTTCCACTATGTTCGCAAAGAAGAAGAAGACAAGCAATAAGCATGAGTCAGGATAAGTATAAAATATCAATTTTACTCTAAAAATTACATTTTTTTTCTCTAATTATAAAACTTCAAGTCCTCTAATTTGTGTTCAGTGGTCTTGTGTTTCTGTTTCAGCTTCAAAGCCTCTGGCTGAACTCCAGTGTTCCACTATCAACATGGAATTTGAGTCTCGTCCTCGTACTAGAGCCATGAAGTTCAAGTTAGCTGTGGGCAGTCTACATCTTCAAGACAAGACCACTCACAACTCAGTGTTCCGTTACATCATCTCGCTGCAGTCACAGGTACTCACTGTCTTGACATCTGCCAAAGCATATGGAACAGCTGAATAGTTGCATACTGTTACAGTTTGCAACCAGACATCTTTGTCCTGTTAATCCTACTTTCTCACTGTGATAGCTTGTCTACAGCAGTGTATTTGCACTACCACCTTCCGTAGGTTAAACAAGTGAGTTTAGTTTTACGCCGCACTCAGCAATATTCCAGCTATATGGCGGCGGTAAATAATCAAGTCTGGACCAGGCAACCCAGTGATCAACAGCATGAAAGTTAAAGGAAGGCAGCCTAGTGGTGAAAAGCAAGGTCACACCAAAGACCTCTATTGATTTCTTGTTCTATTGATAACATTCAGAAGCTTGATTTGTCTGTGGTGTTTTAGGAGTCCATTGGCCACTCCCCGAGCCCCCTTCCTCGTCTGAGTACAGCTGAGAGACTCTCACCGAGGCCATTGCTGCAGGACACGCAGGAGTGGAAGTTTTTTGAGCTGTCGTACGAGAAGAACCCTTCTTCAAGCTTCTTCAGATACAAGTAAGATTATGGTCTGGTTATTCAAATACCCATGCATACATGTCTGTCCTTGTTAATACATTCAATCAGGGATTTTCTCATGAGATGCTTGAAGTATGTTTGTGGACTTGTGAAAGTGAAGTGTGTATCAAGTAGCATAGCAGTGGGAGAGTGGTCCCTGTTCTGGCCCCGATTTCTCGAAACAAACTTAAGTCTGTTTTCAGACTTAAGTCTGAGTTTTTACTCAAATTTGAGAAAACTCAGCAAAATGCATTTCTCAAACAAAACTGAGTTCGATTTTGGACTCAAACTGAGTTGACAATTTGAGTTTGGTAGGGAGGTGACTTAAGTTTTTTGGTGATCACAAAATGGCGCTGATAAATAGACGTAGACGCCGTAGAGTGAAACGTAAATCCACTTTGAGTAGATCATTAGTTGACAGACATAACCCTCTTGAGGTTATGTCACAAGAGGAGCTCTTTCTGCGGTTCCGTTTCCGTGCTGAGAGTATTTTATTTATTGTTTCACTTGTTTGCGGGAAACTTCGAGCGGTGTTCAAACCGAAGCAACCCACTACCTGTCTTAAGCGCAAGTTCTAGTCACTCTGCGTTTCTTGGCCACTGGGTCTTTTATTCATTAATCGCCCGATACGTGTCGACCATCTCCACCTCATCTGTGTTTCGGTCAGTCAGGGATGTATGCTCTTGTCTCACTGAACATCTCCGGCATTTCATACGTATGCCAAGCCGGACAAGATGCCGACATGACCAAGAAACAGTTCTTTCAAATTGCAGGTGAGTGTATTTGATTGCTCTTACCTTCCTTTCGTAGCAAAGCTCATTCTAGGTCAAATAAAGGGGGCTACTCTCAATCTTGTCATTTCTAGTTCCGATGAACCCGATATGTAATCATGCATAAATGAAGAGACTCGTATTAAAAATTCCGTAAGACCCACTGACATAACGATATTGCCAATGTCGGAAAAATTAAACTTTAGAGACATATCCCATACGATATGATAAAAATATATTTTTATAAACTTGAAAAGAACCAGAAATATTCCTTGATGTACTTTTTAAAAAACACCCAAAACTTAATGATACAATAATGTCTATATAATAATTGTGTAATATATGAATTTATCAAAAAAATGTGAATTATGGAAAATGTACTTTTCAGGATTCCCCAATGTTCTGGGATGTGTGGATGGAACATTCATCCGTTTAATGGCACCATCTGAGAATGAAGCAGACTATTTGAACAGGAAAGGCTTTCATTCACTCAATGTTCAGGTAATATGTTTATGTTTACTAATCACCACTTTTCTCATGTACAATGCATGAAATTACTTTCAGCATTAAAAAAAAACATATTTCATTACCTATGCTGTTACCACCAAAATGTAGATTATCACTATATCACCATATCAATTATTCTTAAGTCAAATTTGAATTTTGCCCTATTCCTCACCACATTGGTAGGATGTGTGAAGCTCAATTCTGTTGTCCCCTGCCATGATATTGCTCGAATATTGCTAAAAAGCGCTGGCATAAAACTAAACTCCGTCACTTTTATGCTCAATTGTAAATCCAAAACTGTCAAGACCAATGACCTACTGATTTCAAATAATAATTTGTTATATTAAGCTGACATAGTATTTCAATCACTTTTCAGATGATATGTGATGCGAGATACAAATTCATCAACTGTGTTGCAAAGTGGCCAGGGAGTGTCCATGATAGTCGCATCTTCAGAGACAGCAGAATCAGCATTGCGTTTGAAAATGGTATAACTTCATAGAGCAACTGTAATAACATAACTTCCACTGTATAAACAAACAAAATACCAAATGACACTGTTTGAAGAACACAGTTTATTTAATAATTCTTGAAGAGTTTTTTTCAAACAAAATATTAATTGTGGTTCTGTTCTTCTTAATTAATAGTAGGTACATTTTATATATGAACATAGCTTTTTACTGAAGATGAGGTACAATATTAGGTACATCATATGAAGTAGTAAGGTGTATGACTTGGGATGCCATGACACATTGATACATCAATGCATCGATACTTTTTCTAAGGCAATACAATTATCGATACATTGACAATTGTATTGATATTTATGTTTAAAAATATTGGTTTAAATATTATAAATATTTACATTTATCAATTGTATCATGTTTCTTGATGTTATGAGGGTTATAAAAGATTATATTTCATGCACATAGATGGGAAATTAGAACTTTTTGTCTCTAAGAATCAAACATGTTGATCTTTTCAAGGACAATTTTTCAACATTAATGTTCAAAATGTTACTAAATTTAAGCAATAATGCCACGAAAATGGGTATTGTATTGTGTATTGAATCATGACATGGGTATCAGGTTACATATCGATTCATGAAACTTATGTATCATGACATCCCTATGTAAGACATCGTTTCCATTTACTTACTATATTTAACAAAAAGAAGACCTGTCAGACACTTGGTATGTTTTATATGATAAAATGGTAGAAGCTTAGTTATGTTTCCTAATAGTGTTGGGCATTGGTTAGAATCTCTTAACTGATGATTGGTTCATTACAACCAATCAATCATCGAAAATATTTGGTTAGCATCATTATTCAAATTTTCCTGGATATGTTTGTTAATGCACACAAAATAGAGTAGAAAACGTGTAGTTCTTATACATTTTTTAACTAATTGCACAAAATGCATTTGCAAATGTCACATCTTGAAAGTATGACTTGTATGTTAGGAACATAATAAATTCGGTCATGACTTGAAACGAGCTGGAAGTGCTTATGAAATGTAACAGACACAACCAACCTTGTAAAAAATAATGTTAATGCAAACAAATGTTCCAAAATTGTTAATGTTTGATTATGAGAAAACATCGATTGCTTGGTCATTTAGTCATTGCGACCAATATTTGATTATTTCAATTAATCGGACCACCACTATTTTTACTTAATTTTATTCTTCCAGCTCTAAATACTAAGCTTTACTCTCAGTCTTACCTACAGTAATAATAACACTGCATGCTCACAACACTCTTTGCTCCAGCCCTCGGCCATTTCAATTTTTACACTGATAGGCTAAAGCTGGCCACAGTTTAACTACAATGTTAAAGATTGTAAACTCACTTGCTCTCTCTTACTTCAGAAGGAAATATTAATAGTGTAGGATATCTTTTTGTTTTCATATATTTCATGTTTGCAAATTTCCATAGGAATGTCAACAGAACCATCCACACAGATTGTGATTTGTTATATGTTATAGGTACCTACAAGGGATTACTGTTGGGAGACTCAGGATATCCATGCAAGTCCTACTTGATGACACCATTCCTAACCACATCATCCCATGCTGAAGAGAAATATAACAGAAGTCACAGTAGAACCAGAGTTTTGATTGAGCAGAGTTTTGGAATTTTGAAAAGGAGATTTTCTTGTTTACATAGTGGATTAAGGACAACACCTCAAAATGCCTGCAAAATAGTAACTGCTTGTGTCATTCTACACATAATATTGGCATTGACAGAAAAGATATAATAGATGTTGAACAGGTTGATATTGAGACCAATCAAAATGTCAGTGTCCATATAGCTGATGACTGGACAGGTAACAATGTTCGAAAACACTTGTGTCAGCAGTGTTTTAGTTAGATATTCCATTACAGCTTAAACAATATATCTCATGAGAACATTCTGTGTTTTTAACATATTTGGTCAAGTAATGAATAGAAATGTACATTATCAGAAAATAACTTAAGACAGATTATCTCCCTTGCTTAACAATTACGTGTCTGAATATGAGTCATTTTTTAGCAAGATAACTACATCAAAACATCATTCTATGCAGTAAAGAGAAAATTTCATCCATAAAGTTATATGTTTCATATTTGGCACCCCTAACAATTATTCTTCACTAATACGGTTCTGTTTTCTTAGTATTTCCATTTCTAATTTCAGCTTTTCCTGTTCTAATTTAATCAATGCTACCTTTGCCCTGAAAAATTCTGCTTCTTCTTTTAATTTAACAATTTCACATTTAAGTACCAGCGGTGATAGTTGGGATCTGCAGTATTCCGTCCTCCATAACAAGGAAATTTATTGCACTTTGAAGAACTGTAATATAAATAATTATCAACAGTTATTATTGTAAAGAATTGCTATAGAATAGCATATCAGTTATGCCAGATTATAATCATATAAATCACAATATAAATTTAGAAATGAGACAATAAGTCAAATATATATTTTTTTATGTAAATAGTCATCTGTTTGTCCAGATAATACAGTAGTTATTGGGAGATGAATAGTCCCATTTTATTATTATTGCAATGTCTGATTGGTCAGTATGTCATGGTTAAAGAGACAATTATCTTTTTAGTACATTAACATGTAATGATGGTGCGATAAAATGTGTCCCACATTTGACAGTTTATTTTAATGGATAAAGTATAAGAATGGTATATAAGTGTGGACAAACCATGCTCATTAGTATCAGTGAAGTCCATGGACACACTTGGTTCTTCCTCCGAAACACAAGGAATTACATCAAAATCTGAAATTACATTCATGAGGAAAGTGAAACAGTATTTTTGAATGCACTTATCTGAGGTGTGCTGTGCTATTCATTGTCAGCGTTATGGGCATACCTTATGTGGAGTTTGGAGCTACATATAAATGAACATTATTATTACTACTATTAATATTATGATGAAATGGCATTTACAGTAGGAAAATGTGATGAAGCTAAATTGCTTAATAAAGCATTGTTAATGTTTTATGTTTCCATATACAAACTGGCTTATGTTAATATACAAACTGGCTTATATTTTTACAGTTTTTTGTGCTGCTAAAGTATGAAAAAAACTTTGGTCAAGAAAGTGTTCTGTTCCAATAGTAACATTGCCTGGTCACATATAGTCATATTTGAGGGAAAATTGCAGTTTTTAACTGTTGAATAATGTGAAATTAGGAACAATGTTTCTTCATGTAATATGTAGATTTAGTGATGTTTTTGTGTTATTTTCATACACTCTTTATGGAATATTTTATGTGAATCAATGCAATTAAGAAATACAAATTATTGCTCTATTTTGAGTTTGTGTGTTTATGTGTTGTTAAAACTACACAAAATGCAGCAAATACCATTTTCATAGCCCAAAGTCAGTTGAAATAAGTTATACCTTCAGTGTCTATGCCTCCTGCTAGACCACTCAGAGTTGCCCTTCCCCCCATAGTCTCCAGGATGGCAGCTTCTGGCATTGTTGGGGAAGCTGGTTTGGGCCCTCCTCCTGTTTTGGGTCGACGGATGGCATCATTCTTTTCTTTTGCTGAAAATATTTTGCAAGGTATTGATAAAGATATTAAATTTTAATCATTTCGGTTTACATTACATATATAAAAAATATTTCTTACAGAATTAATTTGTGACATTAATGTCATTATAATCATCAAATAGTCTTGAAAATGTTTATTTAAATATCTAAGCAACTTCATAAAGAAAATGTATAATGATATACCTCTTTGCTTCAAGTTAAGCATACTGTTTCTTCCCTTCCTCTACCGTCCCGTTTAATTTGACTCGATTTCCTATTGTAAAAACAAACGTGAGACTGATTATACATGTATATACATGTTGGCACGGTACTGCATGGTCACACCCACTCGTCGATACAACAGTCTGGATTCGTAAAAAATATTTCATGCTTATGAATTTGGTACAACTACTTTTCACAGTAGATTTTTTACAAATCTATACGGGTGCATTCAACGAAAAGTAACTTACGCATTTAGCGCCGCCATTGCCTCTTCCCATGCCTCTTCCTTCATCGCCGCCCCCCTCTTCCCTCCACACCCCCTAAATTTGCCGAACAACCGTTCTTCCCTCCTCCGCACCTCATCAACTAACGTAAGCCGCTCCTCCTCGGTCCAGTTCGGCCTACGTTTCGGTTCCATCCCGCTGGTAGTCATTCTCAACATTATTTGCCGTTTTCCTATCGGTAGACAACTTTGTAGCAGACGACTTCTACCGTGTTTACATTAGAAACGGAAGTTGATTTCCGCGCCATGGCCGCTTCGACCACGTATAAAAAATCTCAGATCGATCTCAGATCGTTATCTCAAAGTTTTGACTGAGTTTGTTATAAACTCAGCTGAGTCAAAATCTCAAACTCAGTTTGTAATTTGAGTAAAAACTTAAGTTTGTTTCGAGAAATCGGGGCCAGGAGGACTATTGGTGGTATGATGTGACTGTCTGACTGTTCCTTCATTGGTAGAACCAGCATCAAGACCCGGCCTCTGGACATTGTCTACTCTCCAGCATTCATCAAACAAGTGAAGGGATTCTTCTCTTCCCCAGTCAGTCGAGCACAGAAAGCAAGGAGATCCAGAGGTCAGACTTTCGTACACCTGTTGTTTTGTCTCTGTGTAAGGTTTACAGCAGTTTTGATGTCTATGTTCTTTAACATCTTCAGCAAGAAACATTGCATGTGGTTATTGATGACCATGTGTGTCAAACAGTGCATAGTTGTTCATTTCTTGAGAATCACATGTTTTAGATTCATTAGATCGTTTTTTAATAGTCCACTTGTATGGCGCTCATATGCAGGCACATTGCCTGCTTAAGGCTCTATGTACATTACTAGCCCCGGTCATAGGACACTGTCGTATTTTCCGATACTTTTTCAACTCCTAATAACTGCCTGTTAGGCGCAATGAACTAAACACTCACATTGCCAGCACACCCTCACGGGTACCCATTTTGAAGCTGGGTGAACTGAGATAATGTAGATCTAAGTATCTTGGCCAAGGATACTACACAAATGTGCCCACCTCGGGACCCGAACCTAGGTGCCTCCAGCAGGGATCGAACCCGGGCCTTCAGCTTGATAGGCAGACGCCTTACCACTGCACTGTTGATGCTCATATCGCCTAACTGTTCCTGCAACTGAAATGACTGCTGAATCAGATGAAAACACCTGGTGTCAAATCATGTATCTGGTTTCTTTTTTGTTCAGCATGCCAGCTGTGAGTCAGTGGAGTAGTGATTATAGCTGTGATTGGAAGTAGGCCCCTGTGTAAAACTGGTCCACGCTTGTCTCAAGAGGAGACTAACAGGACTGTGTGGTCAGCCTCATTGACATAAGGGCTGGGACGGGTAGGAAAAAATGGAATCGAATACCCGCATGTACTTACCTGAATCGGAATCGAGTACCCGGAAATGTAAGGAATAAAGTGCTTCTGTCAACTTTCTGAATATTCAATCACGAGTTGACAGACATTTTTAAAGAAAACTTGAAATGATAGCAATAAGACACTGAAACCGAACTTAGGCTATATAATTTGCGTTTGTTTGAACAATATAGAGAGAGACACCATTACTTACATTCCTCCTTATAACACAGATTGAACTTTTCGCTCCTGCTGTTACTGTAACTTGACTACTCATTGCTTATGCGCAGATATATTATAGTCATTAATAATAACCTCTATTAATCGGACAATACCAATGATGTAAATGAGTGCTACGTCAATCACGAAAAAATACAAGTTATTATCTGCCCTTGCCATTACAGAATTCTCTCCTTTTCCGGGTACTCGATTCCTAGAAATAGGACTTGATTACAGCTGTACCCGACCCGGATTCGAATAGCCGAGTACCCGTCCCAGCCCTACTGTGTTGTCCGGTTCTGACTTGATTATTGAGAGATTGCCATCATACCTCTGGAATATAGCTGAATGTAGCATGAAACAGCATACAAATCAGAAGTATAAAGCTCCAATTATGGTCCTCTACTTTCACTATAGTTTCATGGTCTTGAATCACTGTTTATTGTCTGCCTCTAGCCTCAGCATGGAAGTTTGAGGCCCTGAAGAAGAAATCTCCAGAGCAGCTCATGGAAACACTGGATCAACTTCTGGAAGCAGAGGTCAGTTGCACTCCCTGTTGCTGTAACAAACGTGATGCTACTCATCTGCATCAAACAAACATCACAGCCAAATGTGTTGATTTAACTCAAATTAAAACTGACTAATCTATTTGCTACTTTGCATTATTCTTTAGAAGCGTCTTCTCTCATTATAGTTCAGGTTGTCACGATATGGCTGAGATATTGCCGATGTGACGTTAAATAGTTACTCACTCACTCATTATAGTTCAGGAATGATGCTAAGCTGTTTTCTTGTACTTGTATGGAATGATTTTAACTATTAGAAACAAGAAAACTCCACTGGTCTGAAACGTGAAACACTGAAACATGTGAAACACTAATTAACACTATTAACACTGATTGCTTGAGGAGAGAGCATAATATTTTCCTCCCGTGATGAAATAAGTGTAATAAATTTTTCCTTATCCTGACTCATGCTAAATGCTTGTCTTCTTTTTTCTTGCGAATGATAGTGGAACACTTGAAATCCCTTGAAGTTCCCTTCTAAAAAAGCGGACGTAAAATCATCACTCACCCACGAGTGGCCTCCCTTGCCCCTTTGGTGCCCTTTTCGTCACTAGACCAGCCATGTTTTGTCACTCTCTCTTTCTTCACCCATGAGGTTGGTTGTGAGCGCACCTGGGTCCCTATACGGCACATATCCTTTTCTATTTAGGACCTTTACATCAAAATTATTGCTGTATACAGCTTTTAGGAGTGTATTCTACTATATGGTTTGAAATTTGATCTAAACTATACATTGTTTGACATGTTTTTTCATCGTGTTTACATTTGATGAAAACTTGTGTTCATTGTGCTGACTGTCTGCGGCTGACCCGCATTTATTATGTCCTGATTGCACTACTTCTTGTTCTTCCAGCTCTCGCTGTAAACATTGTCTGAATTTAACCACTTTTGAATTCAATAACTACCTTTTTTTCCATTCATAGACGTGCAAAGGACTGGGTAAGAGGGTATTCACAAGTCATGTCTAAAACGAGTGATTGCGCTAAGAACTGTGTGTTAACTACTGCTGCCGATGTTCATAATTCCAGTGAATTGCCGAGCGTTTTACGGGGGCAGGTCGCTGTGCCAGTGATGAACTCTGGAGCTAATAAGAGATCATCATCAACGGAGCTGACCTCTTCGCAGACGAAGAAGACTAGATCGTCTTCAAGGCAGAAGAAGAAGGCTACCACCCCCTAAGACTTCATCGGAGTCTCTACACAGCTCTATGCAGAAGACGAGATCCTTCTCCGCCAAGATTGTTCCTCCGTAAGAAGCAGACATTGACATATATTCTGCGCTACTGACTCAGAAAAAGGACTACCAGTTTATGTTGGAGCATCTAGCATCCACATCAGCGGGCCTGACTCTCCTGAGGAGACAAGGATTCTTGTCATCGTGCACCTGGAGTGAGCAGTTCACCAAGTCCTTATAGAGAGCCCTATGGTCAGCATCATCCATCTTCGGAGGAGGAATTGAAGAAGTCGCCAAAGAGGTTACACACGAATCAAGGGAGGTCATGATGATAAAGTCCATAGATACCTTGGCAAATGTGATTCGCCAGACGTTCCAGCGCTACTCCAACAAATCCAAGTTTGCAGGAGTCCAGAGAGCCAGAGAAAAGAAGTATGCTTGGCAAAGCATGCTCGGTCTACTCACCTAAGCTCAAGACATGACTCGCAGAGGGAGATTACAACTGCGCCCACTTCAAATATTTATGAACGCCCATCTCGACAGTCTGTATCAGTTGATACTACCGGACAGCCTGAAACCATACCTCCTATGGTGGACTCGGAAGTCGAATGTTTGCGGAGGAACCTTTTTGTCAGAGCCGGTTTGCAACACTCATCTCTACGTGGATGCATCGCTACAAGGATGGGGTGCCCACCTCGACAACGAAGTGGCAGCAGGGAAGTGGTCGAGTCAGGATCAGAGTCTGCACATCAACCTATTGGAGATGAAAGCAGTGATCAACGCTTTACAACACTGGTCCAGCGTACTAAAGAAAGCAAGACTCAGGGTCCACACGGACAACTCCACAGTGGCATTCTACATCAACAAACAAGGATCAACAAGATCAACAAGTCTGCTACAACTCAGCTTTCTCCTGTTCAGCATCGTCGACGACCTGAACATCTACATGAAGGCATGTCACATTCCAGGAGCAAAGAATGTCATAGCAGATGCCCTATCTCGTGCACTACAACCATCCCCGACGGAATGGATGTTACACCCAGAAGCGTTCCGGTTCGTCATACAGAGAATAGGATCTCCACTGATAGACCTGTTTGCAACAAAGTTCAACAAGCAACTACCAACATTCGTCTCACCGATTCCAGATCCTCAGGCATGGGCAACAGACGCTTTAAGCATCTCATGGGAAGGACTAAACACTTATGCGTTTCCACCTCCAGCACTACTACCACAAATAATGCAGAAAATCAAGCAGACGACAATGCTGCAACTGATTTTGGTCACGCCCTATTGGCCAGCGAGGGTATGGTTTCCCGTCCTCATACAAGAACTTGGAAGTCCAACCCTGAAACTACCAGAGTGGTCGAACCTGCTCGTCCATCCACACACCAAGCAAGCTCACGGGAATCCGGCATTGTTCCAGCTACATGCGTGGAGCGTATCAAAGCTTGCCTGAAGACTAGAGGGTACTCTGCCAGAGCAGTGAAAGCAGTGACACTAGCTCTATGCAGATCAACTCGCAACTTGTACGATGACAAGTGGCAGAGATTTGACCACTATGCAACGAGGAAAGGTTTTACAGCGGTAAAAGCAACCCATCCTCAAGTGGCGGAATACCTGTGTCATCTGTGACAGACGAGACACTTAAAAGGTTCAACACTCTCAACGTACCTGGCTGCTCTCAGCACAGTTATCACCATGAAGACGGGTGTCAAGCTGACCAAAGTACTGGCACTACTACGCTCGTTCAAGTAGGAAGACCAACAAAAGAAATTCAAGGCTACAACATCCCACCAGTGATGCCTACGAGCCTCTAGAACGGACATCCTTTGAACTACTGACACAGAAAATGCTGTTCCTGATTGCCCTAGCAAACAGCAGCACGGATGTGAGAAATACATGCTCTGGACTTTGAACAAACACGATTTGAATCAAGACATCGTGACATCGTACATCTAGGACTGAGATGGGACTTTATTGCCAAGAACCAACTGCCCGGCCAGCATGACAGACAGTTCCACATCCCAGCACTCGCTACAGTCCTTGAGCCACAGGATACACAGGATCTATCCTTATGCCATGTCAGAGCACTAAAAGTCTACCTACAAAGGACAAAAACAAGGAGACGAAAATTCAAGCGCCTATTCATCCCCTTATCCACTGAGACGCCCACGGAAGTCTCACGGACAACGATATCGATATGGATGAGAGCCGTCATACTAAGGGCCTACAAAGCAGCAGGACTTGAGCCTCCAATCCCCACGAAGTCAGAGCCCTAGCGTCTACACTTGCTCTGCATGGAAACTGCTCAATTACGACAATAATGGAGGGCTGCTTTTGGAAATCGGACATGGTGTTTGCCAACCACTACCTCAGAGACATTGCCACTGAAGACGTATCAGGCATTCACCAGTTTGGGCCACTTGTTGTAGCACAACAACTAACGGTTCCACAAAGGCGCTGAGAAAAATCTCACCCCTTTTATCACGTGACTTGTGAAAACCAACGCTCTGGAGAGCAAATGGTTAAAGTCCATGCTCACGTCTAGGACAGGTTAGCATGAGTGATAGACCTTGTACTTGTATAAGACATACTCGTACATGAAGAAGGGTCGCATCTCCACTTGATGCGCACATCAAGAGATGGAGTTGCAATAGATAACTAATGGAACATTAGTATATCTAAAATCCACACGAAAATGTCAGGAAAAGTTTCAGAAGAAATCTGACAAGTTGTGGTTCCCCTCAGACTCATCAGAGGAATTTGAAAGAGAATCATCAGCAGTGCCGTCATAAGTTCCCATGGGAGGTAATACAGGACGTAAATCAACAGCCAGTGAATCCAGAAGTGGCTTGATCCACCACCGATTCCGACGGATTCTGCAAGCATTTAGCATGAGTCAGGATAAGGAAAAATATGTAATAGGGAGGGAACTTCAAGGGATTTTAAGTGTTCCGCTATCATTCGCAAGAAGAAGGAGACAAGCATTTAGCATGAGTCAGGATAAGTATCAAATATCAATTTTAGTCAGAAAATTACATTTTTGTGTGCATATACTTTGCGTCAACTTCAGATTTGTTTTGACAGGGTGTAAAGACACGCTGGGACATGAAGCTGGATATCTCAGCCCCAAAGTTGATCATCCCTGAACGTTGCACGGACCCCACCAGCCCTATGGTGGTCATTGACCTGGGTCGGCTGTGTCTCGAGACCTGTAGCAGCTCACGCACTGACTCCAGGACCACGCTCCATACCGATGGACATGACGATAATGAGGGTACTTGCACATACTGTTTGTGGGTCAACAGGACCAAACATTAAGGAGCCCCAGAGGCTGTCAAGACTGTTCTCGTAGTATTTGTGTCTTGGATCCTGTTAAAACTCTTTTTCTTTATGATACCCCATCATGATGTGAGTGAGTGAGTGAAGTTTTACGCCGCTTTTAGCAATATTCCAGCAATGTCACGTTGGGAGACACCAGAAATGGGCTTCACACATTATACCCACGTGGGGAATCGAACCCGGGCCTTCGGCATGACAAGCGAACACTTTAACCACTAGGCTGGGAGGGAGATACTTGTTTGAGCTCTGTCCGTCCATCCATCCAAGATTTTCTCAAAATCCATTACAGATAGGGAAACCAAACTTGGTATGTGTTTTCAGGACATAAATGCCTTTATTACCCATGTGGTCAACGTATGGGTAGTTGCATACTAATCTCGTGCGTCACACGAGTGTCGTATCGCGTTGACCTGTGTCGTAACCACTTGACCTGAGATTCTAACGATTTGATTGGATAACCGATGACCTCTCAGTTAGGTCACATTCTGACGTATCTATTTTTTCATTCATAACAAACACGTGATTTCATTCATTCTACAACTTAAATGCATTGTGGGAATGTAAACATTGCGAATGTTGCCGTGTCGCTGTTTAATTGTGAGTCGAACTGAGACATTATATCCGTCGAAAAACAAACGCAATGTTCCAACAGTGATGTTAGCCAAATGAAGCAACTGCAAACCAAGAAACGGGGTGCTACGGAGTGGTTTACTGTAGGAGGCTGTACAAGGCGATGACAACTGACATGCATCGTGACGTCGGTTACCAAGGCAGTGACGTCATTACAGTGTGACGTCATGCAAATATTGTACTACAGCACAAAACTCTTCCGCAACCTCTTTATGAAACCGGTTTCTGTTTGAAACCAAAGAAATACAAAAAATACGCTATTTTGTCAATTTAATGCATGTTAGACATGGGTAAAAAATAAAATACCACACTCCGTCTCATTACATACGAATTATACGAAACTCAGGACACTCGTTTTGTATAATTCGTATGTAATGAGACCTCGTGTAGTATTCTCTATTGATGGAGTTCGAAAATGGAAACAATGTTACAATTTTGTTCAGAGTTATGGCCCTTGTCATGCGTTTCTTGACTTAGTGCATGTTATTCGCAATGGGGACAGAATTTCTCAGCAACCGTTATAGATAGGGAAACCAAATGTGGTATGTTTGTTAAGGACATGAATGTCTTAGTGGAGTTTCAAAAACAGGGACCAAATAAGTGCAGAACACTGTGGCGGGGATATTGATGACCATAGTTCTTTAAACAGTATCAGTGTATACCAACCTCTAACAACCTGTGCAAATTACTTTCTTTGTGAAGCTAAAGTGGGAATTATGTACAAGCAACTGATTTGTTACCCTATCCAATGCTCCAATATGAAGACGCAAGTGCATTCTATAATGAAATGTCATTTCCTTGTGATGTCATGGTAACCAGTTCCATTGCAGCTATAGTGGTATCTGTTGTGGAAGCCAGTTTAGGATAATAACCTTATTATTGCTATGATTCCACAACTGGAACACACTCACCAATTAAGCACAGAGAACTGAAGGATACCTATTGTCATAGTAATTCTACTTAGAAAGTACTTAGAAATATAATGGTCTTGACACAGAAACCATGGTAACACTGGCACTGACTTTCAGATGACTTCCACACCCCACTGACCACACCGCCCAACGAGTCCGCCCTTGACAATCCCCCAGTGAAGTCAGTGTCCTCCTCTAACCTCCTGACTCAAGAGAACTCGGCAACCTCCCTCACAGGGCTGTCATCCACTGCAGTCATGGATCACTTGTATGAAAGGTCAGTAGTACCTCCAGTCTTGCCCAGTCCTTCAGGACTATCCTAGTTCTTCTATGTAACTTCACAGATATCTACACTGAGGTTTAGTGATTGATAAGCCTTAAGGTGAGTGTGTATTCATCGTAGAGATGGTCAGGGCTCTATTTCAAGATTATAACACCCGAGGTTCAGTAGTGAAAATGTTTCAAATGAAGCATTCTTCTCATCCAATGCATGGTTGTCTGAAGTAGAATCAGTTGTAGGTAGTCCTTACTTCCCCAGGTACAAGCTGGACTTGACAGACATGCAGGTGCTGCTGGGCCGACCTCAAGACAACTGGCGCCACGCCTACTCCCGGGGAAACAGTCGTATGCACATCCTGGACAAGTTCAGCATTTCCCTGCAGCTGGAGAGGTCAGCCTTCTCTGTCTCCTTCATGCAATACGACATCCCAATATGTACATGGATCTGTGTGTCCAATCTGAGGATCTTTTTATTGTTGTGATAAATGATGTTTGAAAGAAATGTCTAGGTTCCATTAATCCCATATTTATACAGTTTCACTTATCAAGGTAAACTATTACACAGTAAGGGATGATAACCCATTCACTTTTACAAAATTTGTCTGTTTTTCACTACCCACCATATATTGTTTTCTTATTCTAACTCATACTATTTGATTCTCTCTCCCTTTGCTCAAGATACAGTGAAAATATTTTGTGTAATGTTCCCCAAGAACAGTGAAAATATCACACTCGAACACACACCACCACCATGCACACACATTGGCCTCTTACATGACCAGCCACTGACTGAGATGGTTAGGGAAAGATTTCTGTTTTTCTTTGTCTAATCCAAACCATCCTATCAAAATTACAAATACAATTTAATAAAAATTTGATTGGATTTGACCATTTATGCATCGTTTGTATCAATTATATTTTAATTTGGCATTATTAATTATGTGTATTTGCATCTTAATTTCAACCTGCAGTCTCTTCATGGATATGCATTCCCTCCACCAGTTCTCATTCCAAGTGTTGTACCAAGATTGTGTTAACATGGAACCTGAAACTGACTTTGGTCTCGCCTTACTGGCCATCGAGAACATGGTTTCCATGGTTTTTAATTACAGCAGAAGGAAAACCAAGTCAAAGCTTCCAAACTGGCCGCATCCTCATTGACAAGATTGATGTACAGTATTTAGTAATGTCGTAACACTGTATATCAGTCTTGTCAGTTGTATAAATCCAAATATCCTTCATGTTAGCATCTACACCAAAACATCATTCCCACTGCAATATAGAAGTTGTCATTCCATATGACTTGTTCCTCTCCATACCAACTTCTGAAAGCCATTCCATATAACTTGTTCCTCTCCATACCAACTTCTGAAAGCCATTCCATATGACTTGTTCCTCTCCATACCAACTTCTGAAAGCCATTCCATATGACTTGTTCCTCTCCATACCAACTTCTGAAAGCCATTCCATATAACTTGTTCCTCTCCATACCAACTTCTGAAAGCCATTCCATATGACTTGTTCCTCTCCATACCAACTTCTGAAAGCCATTCCATATAACTTGTTCCTCTCCATACCAACTTCTGAAAGCCATTCCATATGACTTGTTCCTCTCCATACCAACTTCTGAAAGCCATTCCATATAACTTGTTCCTCTCCATACCAACTTCTGAAAGCCATTCCATATAACTTGTTCCTCTCCATACCAACTTCTGAAAGCCATTCCATATGACTTGTTCCTCTTCACCATACCAACTTCTGAAAGCCTCTTACAGAAGAAACTACCTGATGTTCTTTGATGTTTATCAAGTTGCTGTAGAACATTTTCTGAAATTCTGTGTGTTGGTCCCAGGCGGCTGATCGTGACGGCAGACCCGAAGTGGCCCAAGATGAAACTGTCGGGCACTCTTCCATCACTCACCTTCCATCTCAATGAAAGAAAGGTCAGTTAACTGAATCAGTCCCTTTACACTGTGTTTACACCTGTGTGAGTGTAAGTATCACAGGTGTCTCAGTATTTGTGTGTGTTGTTAAGTAATACATGTTTGACCTGCTGGCTACCGTAGGTGAGGTCCTAGTTTGTACCTTCTTCATATGAAGGACTTAGAACATTTGGTTTGTTCTTTTGTTAGTTGTTTAAAGCCATAGTGAGTGTTGGTTGTCACACCGAAGACCCGGGTTCGATTCCCCACATGGGCACGATGTGTTAAGCTCATTTCTGGTGTTCCCCGCCGTGATATTGCTGGAATATTGCTAAAAGTGGCGTAAAACTAAACTCAGTCAGTCAGTCAGTCAAACATAGTGTGATAGTGGTCTGTCTTTGACCTGAGTGAATCATTATAGCTGTGATTGGTTGGATGAACTAATTCATCATTGGTAAGAAGAAAGATTTGTTGAAGAGCGAAATTTACGGTAAATTCCTCATTCAGAGCTCATGCTTGATTATCTCCATTCTATCACCTGGTAACTGCAATAGGTACCTTCCGAGTGTGGTTTAAATAAAACTATGCTAAAAATAACCACCCAATCAAATTACACACTTCTGTTTCAAATGAAACAAATGGCGATATGTCCTGTATTTCTACTACTTTCCTTGTTGCTGCTACCGAGGGACACCTGACAGTTGGAGGGCTTCAGTGTTGATCTTACTTAACTTCCTGCTTAAAGTTCATTTATGACCGTCTCTCAGATTGATCAAATGTATCAAGTGCTGACAGTTTTATATTATTCAAAGAAAGTCCTATTGAGCTGAAGAAACTTGTTAGTGATAAGCGACAAGCGTCATGGTGATGTCACTTCCTAAGTGAAGCAGTGGTAGTAAATGGGTCCATCATAGTAAACCAGATAGAATGAGAATGTAATAGCATGGGTAATGTATACATTCCATATGATTGTGCTGTGCCTGTGATGACGTACCACCATGTATTTCCAGATCCATGCAGTCAACACCTCCGTGGACATAGTGTCCAGTGGTAGCTCCAGTTCTTCACTGCAGACAGTCATGGACAACATGTCCAGTGGTAATTCCGACCTCGGACAGCGGTCACATACATCTGTGTAAGTACATCACCTCCATGGACATAGTTTCAAACCCAAACAAAGCCATTTGATGGTTGTAACAGGAAGTCTGTATGTTTCAGCAGTGAGCCTGTGATGAAGAAAGGCAAGGAGGAGATAGACAACAAGCTGGTGGTGCTGCAGTTCCTCATCCACAGCCTGTCCGTGGAGATACAGAGTCAGGGTACATATACAAAGACTATAGCTTCAACCAGGCCCTCAGCATCATGTTAGTGGGCTGTCATCAGCTAACTAGCCCAGAAAGGGGAGGGTAACATGCAGGTTCTTTGGCTCATAGCAACAAGACCCCGGGTTTCAATTCCCCACATGGGTACAAAGTCCAGTGTCACCAGCATTGATATTGCAGGAATATGCTTCGAGTGTAACCCATCTAAAATAGCCAAAATGAAATTTGACAGGCCTCATTTGTAAACTTGTGTCATTGGCCTTGATGAATTCTAAGCTGAATAATATAAACATACTTTTTGTAAACATGCAAGCAGATTAGTTATAAGATTAAGTTGTTGAGTAGATATGTCCATCACAGGCTTCCGAAGTTTTGTCTGGGACTTGAAGCAGTGTATGAATAAAGCCTTACCCTGGACCCAGTCTAGTCTGGCATTGCCCTTTGTAGGTCAAGCTCTAGCTGAGTTCCAAGTGACCGATGTGCAGGCAGATGTGTCCAAGAAGTCCCACAACACCTCCCTCAAGCTCACAGTCCACAGCCTCCTTGTGGTGGATGCCCTGCAGAGCTACGGACCTGACTTCGAGCTTCTCATTGCTTCACACAAACATCTGGTGTAAGTAATACCGATACTTCTGTCAGGATTCCAGGGTTGAATATGTACCCAATGTTTGTTGTAAGACCGGGCAAATGAGAATGTTGCCTGGATCACAAGGATTGTTGTTATACTGCTCAAGCATGATTTAAAGTGTTTCTCTCCTGCGGTCCTTGACAATCAGTGACTGAGGTGATGAGGAGTAAACAAGACCATGTCATGCCACAGGAGCAAAGTGTTACATTCGTCACATTGTTTGTGAAATGTTACACCTTGAACTCATGTAACTCAGGACTGCCAACACCCTGGGACTTTGTGTGAGCATCAATCAACATTCAAGGACTGAGATGTCTAAGCCAGCCTCCTTGCGAACTAGGCACTCAGGGTTGCTGTTTTCCAACAGATTAGGTTAATCTGCGGCCTGCCATCCATCCGTGGGAGAATGTATAACATAAAATAGGATAAGTTTTGAAAATTTGAAAACTTTAACAATAAATTCCTGATGTTCCCACCCAACAAACCCCCCTATGCAGATTACTTGGATGGTTCCAGCTCCAGGACAGAGAATAAAGATGGCTGAAAACTTTATTAAAGGTCGTTTTTTCTCCATGGTCATAAGAACAAGAGAAAGTGCATAATGTGAGATACGGCAAGTATTTATAAATATACAAATTATAGTTAAAATTTACAATTTCTGGCCAGAAGATAAACACGACTCACGCACTCTTTCTCCAGACTGGACTCTCGGAGTGGTAGTATCCGTGGATCTGATGCTGGGTCTCCCCTCTCCCCTGCGTCCCCCATCACTCCAGGTTCACCAGGGATGGAAGATGCTAGTTCCCCCCTGTCGTCCGGGACCTTCCAGAGTGGTAGTTTCCAGGCCATACAAGACACCATATCTTCAGCATTTCAAGTGTTCACAGGTATGTAAATTCCTACAGTCTTGTGTAGGCTGAAACTATACATCTAGTTATTCCGATTGTATGCACTGTAATGTGGTGTAAAGAGTAGGTTTCTAAGGAGTAATCTGTCAAACTGTCAAGGTATCACAACATGGCAGTATGGCAATGCATGTATGTTAGGATACCAATAGGTAACATTGATGCTGAGCCTTCCATTGGATAGCATCACTTATTATAGTAATATAAACACAAACTATATTATAGAAAAATGGATCCTTCATCGGCTGTTTTTACTCTTGCTTTTGTTTTGTCAAACAAACCACAACTACTCAGGCACTGACACAACCACACACCTTCCTGCACACACCCAGACACTTGAACACCCACCCACATACAGACACACCCATACAGTTCTACACTCACTAATGGCATGGTTCAAGGACCGACCTCCCCCCAGTCACAGAAGGCCGGAGAGGATGTTAATGGCAGCCTTGGTCCCTCGTTCCCTCGTCTGGGACAGAACTCTGAGGCCCTCATCATCATGGAGTATGAGCAGATCGTGGACCCCGGACTGGAGGGGGACAAGACAGTTGATGGGGGCATGCAGATACTCAACCTGCATTTCAATAGTCTGGATTTCATAGGTTAGTCCCACCTGCTAAACCAGGATCCGCTGTGGTGTGAGTCACATTAGAACCACATATAACTCACCATCACGCCCTGCTTTTGTTTGTTTGTTTTTTAACGCCACACTCAGCAATATTCCAGCTATATGGTAGTAGTCAGTAAATAATTGAGTCTGGACCAGACAATCCAGTGATCAAGATATGACTTGTCAACCAAGTCATCGAGCCTGACCACCCGATCCCATTAGTCACCTCTTACGACAAGCATGGGTCACTGAAGACCAGTTCTAAGTTGGTTCTTGATGAGTTCACACCCTAATCCTCAGTTTGACCAATGTGATAAAGGTCTACTGTGCTGATTCAGGATGCCTCTCACCTGAAGGTTATATATACCATCTCTGGGAAGGGGATACGCTCTGAAAATGTTTATTAATACGGCTCCAGTTCTAACTTGGTTCTTGATGAGTTCACACCCTAATCCTCAGTTTGACCAATGTGATAAAGGTCTACTGTGCTGATTCAGGATGCCTCTCACCTGAAGGTTATATATACCATCTCTGGGAAGGGGATACGCTCTGAAAATGTTTTGGTTAAGGTGAGTCAAGGTCAGGGTCATCTTTGATGGTAATCATATTTGACTTTTTAATGTTGTATAAATCTTCAAAATCTTGAGGTTATGGTTTTTTTTAGGGTGGGGGAATTGCTAGCAAAACATCTAGTTTAGTCTTATACCTTTGTTACAGTATTTTGCTTTTACTGATTACACAATACACGTTTTTGATGTATTCCAGCAAACCAGGAAACCATTGTAGAGATTCTCAGTTTCTTGAAGAGAGCATTCCCATCCTCCAGCGATAAACAGTCCTCCAGACCGCCACAGGACAGACGGCAGTCGAAACGCGAAGACTCCATCAATGTACGTGTAGTCTTCATCATTGCTATGTCAAATCACTAAGTATCGTTTTGATATCCAAGCACCGAATAGCCCATGCATGTGTTCTTAATGGATTTGGAAAAGGTCCTGAATCCCTGCACAGTTACTGGGGAAGCAGAGCAAAAACATCTCTACCCCACACCGCAAACATTCTTGTATTTGTAGTCAGAGGAAACATTTTGGTGCTTGTAGTCAGGTCATGTGTTCTGCTACTTGTAGTCAGGTCATGTGTTCTGCTACTTGGAGTCAGGTCATGTGTTCTGTTACTTGTAGTCAGGTCATGTGTTGCGCTACTTGTAGTCAGGTCATGTGTTCTGTTACTTGTAGTCAGGTCATGTGTTCCGCTACTTGTAGTCAGGTCATGTGTTCTGCTACTTGTAGTCAGGTCATGTGTTCTGCTACTTGTAGTCAGGTCATGTGTTCTGTTACTTGTAGTCAGGTCATGTGTTCTGCTACTTGTAGTCAGGTCATGTGTTCTGCTACTTGTAGTCAGGTCATGTTTTCTGTTACTTGTAGTCCGGTCATGTGTTCTGCTACTTGTAGTCAGGTCATGTGTTCTGCTACTTGTAGTCAGGTCATGTGTTCAGCTACTTGTAGTCAGGTCATGTGTTCCACTACTTGTAGTCAGGTCATGTGTTCAGCTACTTGTAGTCAGGTCATGTGTTCCACTACTTGTAGTCAGGTCATGTGTTCTGTTACTTGTAGTCAGGTCATGTGTTCAGCTACTTGTAGTCAGGTCATGTGTTCTGCTACTTGTAGTCAGGTCATGTGTTCTGCTACTTGTAGTCAGGTCATGTGTTCTGCTACTTGTAGCCAGGTCATGTTTTCCGCTACTTGTAGTCAGGTCATGTGTTCCGCTACTTGTAGTCAGGTCATGTTTTCTGCTACTTGTAGTCAGGTCATGTGTTCTGCTACTTGTAGTCAGGTCATGTGTTTCGCTACTTGTAGTCAGGTCATGTGTTCCACTACTTGTAGCCAGGTCATGTGTTCCGCTACTTGTAGTCAGGTCATGTGTTCCGCTACTTGTAGTCAGGACATGTGTTCCGCTACTTGTAGCCAGATCATGCGTTCTGCTACTTGTAGCCAGGTCATGTGTTCTGCTACTTGTAGTCAGAGGAAACATTTTGGTACTTGTAGTCAGATCATACAACTGAAGTCGTAGGTGGTCTAACATTTGATGAATGCCCAATGTCTGTGGCACTATGGAATGTGTCTCTGGATGCTGAGATTAAAACAATCATTCACAATGAATCCTGATTGTAAATGGTTTTGAAACTTAGTTCCAGCCCAAGAAGGACAAGTTGATGGTGACAGCTGACTTCAAGAGGCTAAACATCCTACTGCCATGCTTCAGTGAGAAGGACGCGCGAAAGGTTTGGAAGAAGGTTGCCACAGCAACCATGTCCACGGCCAAGATAGAGGCCAGTCTAGGTAATGGCCAGTTTCGCGTCTGTAGTTCTAAGTACAGAAGTAAATTTGAATGCATTTCGAGTTTACTTCATTCAAATTCTTCATTTGCCTTTGACCAATCCACCTACAAATTAACTTTGAAAAGACCCACTGATTTAGGATGTTGTCTGTCTGACCACTTTTTCAAGTATAGCCTTTATTTAAGGTTGCCACAAGTTAGGAAAAGAAGTTTAGAGTCTGGGTATTAAGATATGGAAGGGTAACTTTAATGCACATATGTTTTGTTTGCCTTGAGTGGTTTCTCATCCGCCATGTTCCAGATGACAGTTGGCAGATAGAAGGCAGTCTGGGTGGTCTCCACTTGACCGATGTCACACCAGAAGGCAGTCTCTACCAGCAGGTATTCAGTGTTGGGGAAAGCCAGCTAGACCAATCAGAAGGACTCATTTCTCCCCGAACCATTCCGTCTGCTATGTACCAAACTGCTCGAGATGAAACTGTGTTCACTGATGCTGTTCATGCTAAGGGAAGCTCAAAGAAGGCCTTTTCTTTCAATGTGAAAAAAACATTGCTTGAAGGAGCCCGGGATGGAACATTTGGGCATTCTTTCCCAGAATCGGATGAAATTTACGCTGACTTTACCATGGCATCTGTATATTATACACATTCGCCTCAGTTCCTCAATGAGCTGATGGACTGTATGTCAAAATTCAAGGACTACATGTCTGACTTTGCCTCTTCTATAGGCAAGGCTGCAACAGAAGTAGCTATGGGTCTGGTCGGAGGTCGAGTTGACCGCGAAGGACATGACCACACGTTTGGATCTGTTACTGATCTGTCCAGTCAGAGAGATTCTTGTATGAAGTTTACAGCTCGAATGGAAACTCCAATCATAGCCCTTCCACGAACCCCTACAAGTTACCAGGTTCTTCTAGCTGACCTTGGTGAGATAACCGTGTCCAACTCTAGTCTCACCGAGTCCAGCACAGCATCAACGCTACATGACTCTATGGACCACAGTGAAGAGGTACATATATCTTTGAGGAACATGAATCTGTATTCTCTTGATCTGGAGAAGTACAATACTCAAGTAGGGCAGAGCATATCGGCAACGCTAATGGGAAAGTCCTACTACAGTCTATCGTACGAACTTGGTGTGCCCATTTTGTATGACACAGCAGTTGATTTAGTGATTGCCAAAGAAACAACTGAAGTGCCAATAATCAACCCTGAGGTTACAAACAATGACTTCCCACCTAGGACTCCTAAAAAATCTGTGCAGCCAGCTCAGATAAGCAATGTGTTAAAGGTAAGTGCCAAAATCTCTCCGGCGGTGAAGTTGGTGTTGTCAAAGGAGGTGTACGAGCATATACTGCAGACTCTGGACAACCTGACGTACAGCGAGGACGACTATGCTCCTGATGCATCTGATGATTCCACATCCTCTGGAAGACCTGCTGATGGTGCTGCTGCTTGTGAAGGACAATCTGAATCTCATGCAAACTTGGCTATGCAAGAGTCATCTTTACAGGAGGGATTTCTTGCAAAACATTTCCATTTTGAAGTTCCTCTGTTTGAAGTTGAACTTAGGGGGGATTTCGGGGAGGGGGAGCAAGGATTAGTTGATCTCAAGCTGACTGACTTTTCTATGAATTATGCCAAAGATAATAAAGTTGTGACAGAAATGCAGCTCCGACTGAGATCCCTGTCAATGGATGATTTGTTAGAATCCGAGAAATCAGCTCATAGACAAATCATGGTTTCTCGCAGCTCCCATAAAGAACCTGATGTGGAGGATGCCAAACCAAAAACATTCCCGTCGACATCTTGTCCTGATAGTACTATCATTGCCCCAGTGCACCTCATGCCAGCACCTCTGCCATCCAGTTTCCACAAGAAGATCCCAAAACCCACATCACAGAAACAAGGCACAGCATTCTATGTTGGCTTCATCCAGAAACAGAGAACGAGGGGGAAGGACAGGTCGGTTAACTGCAATTTTACCATTATTTCATTATAGGTGTGTATTCAGTCTAAGTAAACTTAGGCTCAGTATTATTCGTTACACTGCTATACTGAGTCTAACAAAACCTTGTGGAAGGTCGCGTCAGATAACCTTTTCAATTGACCAATCAGAACACAGCTTTCCAAATCGCGAAAGTTGACATTCGGACATACCTTTTGAACTTTTACCTCCAAAAAGTTTGTACCGAACAATTCCGAATGCTATTTTCCGTACGATCGGTTCCTAGTGAGGCACGCCACAACAGTGAGTAAACAGTTGCTGAAAATAGCGTTTTGTCAGTATTCAAGCATGTCAGCTTGCTGAAATATAAGCTAATGATAGCCATGTCAACAGAAACCCCAAAGCGTATATACTGCAGGGCAAATATCTGTGTTTTATGCAATTTTCATTGGTTGGGAGATCAGTGTTGGCGAACAGGGAAGAGAAAATCCATTTTGTAAGTCCCGCCAAACCCTAAATAGTAGCTGTTGTCTGATTGGTTAAATCCATTCGTCCGTCTCGCGTTTGATTGGACGGTCATAGGTTGCTCAAAGGTTACCTGACGCAACCTTCCACAAGGTTTTGATAGACTCAGTATAGCAGTGTCACGAATAATACTGAGTCTAAGTTTACTTAGACTGGGTGTGTATTTTGTTGTCACAAAACAATAGTGTCACACTGGTCAAGCAGAATTTTCAAAACTGAGAATCTGGTGAAAAAAAAAGTCCTCAACAGTTTTGTTATTTTTTCTTGTTCAAGTATATTTATAGCGGCAAATCGCTCTACTGTTTGTGTAAGTGTAGACTCTTCAAAAATGTGCATTTTCAATGCCAACTCAATTACCCTGCTATTTCACATACATGAGCAAAGTGGATGAAGCGCACATACAAGGAGTTTGAAATCTATGTATCGGGTTGACTGTAGCTAAGTGGGACTGGGTTGCCAGGCGGCCAGTGTGTTGTGTATGAGAGCCATGAGTAAGTCAAGCTTCTGTTTACCTCAATATGAGTTTGGCAGCATAACTGTCACAATGTTGTATGCCAGCATACCTTGTCACATGGGAAGCAGGTGCTTGTTGGAGGTTTTACAGCCCACTTCCTCTTCTCTGATAACTGCGGATCTTAATATCTACATACCAATATCTTCTACTATCTGATTACTTCTCATCTACAGTACTTTGTGGATTTTTGACTGAAATTGAGTTTATATGGATTCCAGTTTGAAAATCAGTATGAACAATCTTTTTAGAGCCGACACATGGTGGTAAAGACAGTTAGCAGACAAATATAAGAGTTTAAAAAGTCTTAAGAAATAAATATGATTATGAAGCGGGACACAGAGGGACTATATTTGTTGAACATACAGATATGATAACCTACTGTTTCAGGGAGATGTTCCCCCAGACCCCGCCTCCATCCCCAACCCTCAATGACATCCTCAACCCCGAGGAACTGCCAATAGAGGATCTTGTCCACATTGATGTGGTGCTTGTTGACAAGAAGTCCCCAGACTATACAACAAAATATGACAAGGTATACGTGCATGATATGCAGGATTTCAGTTCTCACATTTTCAAGTATTTTCATTCAACTGCCAAAGATGAATTCACTTTGCAGAGTTGTGTCCCTTGGGCATATCTGATAGTTATGAGTTGTAGTTTCAAATCCTGTTCCATTACCTGCATAACATTGGGCTTTTGTCCCACATCAAGCTGACTCACCGTGATATAACTGAAATAGTTACTCACATGTTCAAAATTACAGCAGTTGTTTGGCTCATTTCACAAAAAATAATTATGCAAATAATGTGGGTTCCTGTCATACCTCTTCCCCTTGGCTGATGTTTGTATATTGATGCTCTTTGCTGTTGTCTGATGCTAAATACAGGGGAAGGGGAAACCAGTTGTAGTGTTCATTTGTCAAAGACCCACGCTTGATTTCCACAGGTACAGTGTCAAGACATTTATCATGAATATAGCAGCGTAATACCCTACTCATCTGTGAAGCATGGAATATTTCAGATCAGACCTTCCCTATTTCATAACTCTTTTAATGACTTGACAATTATTTCCTGGACCAGACAAACCGCTTCATTGATGTCAACTTCAGCTGCCTGGAGATGACTTTCAACCTGCAGACATGGGTGGTCCTCCTCGGACTTCCTGGGGATGGGGCCAAGGTCCATGACACCGAGTCCGACACTTCCTTCCTTGACCCCACATCAGAAGGGGACAGCACCCTCAACACACCTGAGACAGGTAATCTCTAGCAGAATCCGAGACTCTAATGGTCTAAGAGATTTGAGACATTAAAAATGTAATAGAAAAAAATTGATGTCCTCTAAACTTGATAATTTTTCCTTATCCTGACTCATGCTTTTTTGCTTGTCTCCTTCTTCTTGCGAACACAGTGGAACACTTGTATCTCCCAATTGAAGTTCCCTTCAATGTAAAATCACTAATTAGTACTCACCATGAGTTATCTTTCCCCTCGTAAGCGCGGGAACGAGGGCGCCACCTCTCACCATGTGCCTCACTCTCTCCTTGTTCGCCCAGTGAGCAGGACGTGAGAGCGCCTGTGTCTCCCTACACACTATATCCTTTATTTATATTCATCTTCGTCTTTTAGTTGTCGAGGGATTCATTCGGACCTTAGCGAAACTACAGGTCACCCTGCACAGTTCGTCGGGTTATTCACCACGTCGATCCCCTCGCCGATTTACACACAAGTATCCAGCGAAGCAGAGACATTGCAGTACTTGTCTATCAACTGTATGCCACATGCCGTCTTCAAGCCTACACGAAGGCATTTGCACAGGCTATTTACAAAACAGAATGTTATATAGTTACGCGAAGTACTATTTACATATGAAGAGCCTAATTAAGGATCTTCAGGCCGACTACCTACATCAAGGGCATCACCGACGTTTCGCAGATCTTCACAGGAATCACCGTTTCCGTATATATTGCTAAGTATGCAATCCCGGACTACGATACGATTATCTACATGCATGACCATTACGCAGATCTGCAGACAATTCAATAATGGAATTGAGCAGCAGCATTGTTACAGCGAGTAAAACAGATGATCGTCAACGATTGCCTGAGAAGAAATATGTACAACAAGTTCAGCTTTAATTCTACAATTATGACGCTACATTGATGTATGCAGTCTACTAGCTGACAACTTGTGAGTTTTATTCAGCCTATATGTAAGGAAGTCGGCATTATCTTCAAGACTACCAGAGATGCCTACGCTGACGCCTGAGATTATAACTGAGGGTCCTGTCACTATCACAGAGAGGACACCCTCAACGCCAGTGCAGACCGTCCCAGACGACCTGGTAAACCAGGGCGAGGTAATTCGCGCCGAAAGATTCGCGCATTTACCATTAACCCTCGAAACACGTCGTCACTCGTGTAACTTCGGGAAGCTACGGACAAGACCGACGATTGATCTAATATCAACGACGGCACTAAATTATACAAGGTTCCTTTTCCGGCTACACCGGTGACATCACAGAGCGGGTACACTACAGAATCAAAATGCCTTGTTCTGATTGGACCGCGATGGACAACGCCCTATGCAGAGGTCGATCATAGTTCACAGTTCAAGACATAGGTTGCAAGTGACAACAACATATCAGTGAACGAGCAAAGCCTCCATACAGTCCAGTTAATCTGAACCTTCATGATTGGGCTGACTTCATGAGGTTAGAGACCTCCCCTGTCAAGTAAGGACGAGGGCACGGCAGTCAGGCGATTTTTACATAAAGTTCAACGATGGCAGTCACCCCTGGTTGTGCACCTACATCGTCAAGGACTTCGCAGCGAGTTTACCTCGACGACGGGATACAAGTGGATCCAAATCCACAGCGTCTCAGACTACAGTTGAATTTCATCATCTAGCTACTAACACAACTAGGATGGTTAGTAAATCTACTTAAGTTGGACCTAGAACCTACGCAAGATCTGCAATTTCTAGGTATTTGATTTGTAACGGCGCAGAATCGTATAATTGTACCGGAGGACTGATGGATCAAGATCCAACAGTCAATCCCACAGGAATTACTCACTTCAGCTCAAGACATGACAGTCAGAGGCAGACTACAATTACGTCCGTTACAAGTCATCATCAATTCGCATCTCGACGACTCTCTACCGTTCAGTTTACCGGATCACGTTAAACCTCACCTACTATGGTGGACCAAGAGATTGAATGTTTGTGTAGGCGTCTCTTTAATAGAGCCGGAAACGAAAACACATCACTACGTAGACGTGTCACTACAAGGTTGGGGAGCCCATCTCGCCAACAGGACGGCATCAGGGCTATGGAGCAATCAAGAGAGCAAATTACACATAAATCTGCTAGAGATGCAAGCAGTGATAACGCCATAATGCACTGGAGCAACTTACTACAGAATGCTCAGTTGATGATTCACACAGACAATTCGACAGTGGCGTTTTATGTGAACAAACTAAGCTCAACCAGGTCCCGAACCTATTGACTCTATGTTTTCAATTGTTCGATTTAATCGACAATCTCAACATACATGTCAGAGCATGTCACATTCTAGGAGCAAAGAATGTAATAGCAGACGCTCTCTCTGGGCCACACCTACCATCGCCGACAGAATGGATGCTCCATACAGAGATATTCACTCAAATTATCAAGGAAATAGGAACTCTACTAATAGACCTATTTACCACTCGATTCAACAAACAACATTCTGTCGCCAGTCCCAGACCCACTAGCATGGGCAACGGACGCACTAAGCATATCATGGGAAGGACTCAACGCATACGCTTTCCGCCACCAGCGTTAATCCCACAAGCCTTCTCAAAATCAGTCAAACGCAGAACCTCCATCTGAATTTGGTCGCGCTCTACTGACCAGCGAGAACGTGGTTTCCAACTCTTATTCAAGGAATCGGACAACCAATACTACATCTTCCAGAGTGCTCGAATCTGTTAATACATCCGCACACCAAACAAGCGCACGGAAAGCCAGAAATATTCCAACTTCACGTATGGATTGTATCAAGGCGTGTCTGAATAAGAGGTTATTCAGCCAGAGCGGCAAAAGCAGTCAAGCTTGCACTGCGTAACTCAACTCGCAACTTATACGATGACAAATGTCACAGTTTTGTCAATTATGCTGCAAAGAAGGATTTACAGCTAGATATGCTACTCATCGTCAAGTGGCTGACTACTTATGTTATCTACGTCAGACTAAGAATTTAAAAGGCTCAGCTTTGTCCACCTATCTTGCAGCAATAAGCTCTGTCATAACTATGAGAACGGGCGTCAAGTTAATCAAACCCCAGAGTTACTCGCCTTGCTACGAGCATTCCGATTGGAGGATTAAAAACGGAAGGTTCACGCTCCAGCTTGGGATCTGAATGTAGTGCTCCAACACCTCACAAGTGAGGCTTATGAACCGTTAGAATCTACATCGTTGAATCTCTGACTCAGATAACCTCGTTCCTGTTATCTCTAGCTACGGCTGCCAGGATGTCAGAGATTCACGCATTGGATTACGAGAGAACACGCTTTGATGATATACTTGGACCTCATGATACGATGGATCTATCACTATGGCCAGTAAGAGCACTGAAAATATATCTCCACCGATCCAAACAGAGGAGGGAAAAATTCAAGAGATTAATTTCCTCTATCAACAGCTACGCAGACTGAAGTCTCACGTACTACTATCTCCATTTGGATCAGAACTGTCATACTACGTGCCTACAAGACTGCAGGACTCGACCCTCCAAGAGCTTCTAATCCTCATGATATTAGAACGCTAACATCTACACTTGCTCTACACGGCAACTGCTCTTGGAATACCATAATGGAGGGTTGTTTCTGGAGATCCGATATGGTGTTTGCCAACCACTATCTGAGAGATATCACCACAGAGGACGTCTCAGGTATCCACCATTTTGGTCCCATGGTCCTCGCACAACAGTTGACAGTTCCTCGGAGAAGATAAGTCAATCTTACAGATTTCTACTTATCTTATAACAGTACTAAATAGCTACATGCTATATATATTTTGCTTAAGTTCTTTTATTATCTTAAGCTCAGTACTATGGTTATTATATCATACAATATATTAGCTAACAACTCTACGGAGTTTGCTATTATATATTTAGCTTAAGTTAATCATATCTTAAGCTCAGTACTATGGTTACATTATAAATGTATTAGCTAACAAACTCTACGGAGTTTCTGCTATTATATATGTAGCTTAAGTTAATTATATCTTAAAGAACCACTAAACTTTGTTTTTTATTACTCTTTTAACCATTACATATGAAAGATTTGTGGTTAGTCTTATGCGGAACACCAAATTTATTCTTTAAAAACTTGTGGTTAATTAATACCGAGCGATTAAAAGTGGCCAAAAAGTCGCCTGCCTCCCTCTCGCCCGCCAACGAAACCACAGACAGGTTACGTAACTCTGTCGCCAGAGCACTGCAGTGACGTCATATGAGGAACGATTTTCAGTTAGTTGTATAGAAAATGTGAAGCACGCTCATCATTTTGATGATTTCTCGACATCAACGACGACATGCCGAATCGTTGCTTTGTCGTCAATTGCTCCTAGGGGTCGGGCGATGGTGTCCCCATGCACAGATTTCCACAGGACCCCGCAGTTTGTGCTAAATGGGTTATGTTTGTGAGTGCGAAGCGAGCGTTGTGGAAGCCTGAAACGATATCTTACTTGTGTTCAGATCGCTTCACGGAAGTTAAAGAATCAAAACTACTTACTAATTCTAGTAAAATATGCATATGATTGATGACCATAAAAATTTTCTATGACACAACTTGTAACATAACGATTTCTTCCTCGGAAGTGAGGTTGTGGTCGAAGTAACAATAATATTGTAAGTAGTATTATATTGACACCCACCTCGCTGCCACGAGAGAAATTGTTATGATATACGCTATGTCATGCAAAATCCTATTGGCCATCAATAAAATACATATTTTACTACCAGTAGAAAGTAGTTTTGATTTTGTAACTCGGTGAAAACAAACCTAAAATACCATTTATCCTCAGACTGGCGGATGTTCCCGACAGGGCGCCGCCATTTTTAAAAATAAAAAAATCTGTTAGAATTAATGAGATTATAGTTTGTTTTCATCAAGTTAGAAAATCAAGACTACTTTCTACTCGTTGTTAAATATGTATTGGAATCATAACCAAACAGATTTTGCATGACACAACTTATAACATAACGATTTCTTCC